TTTGACACAGTATTGTTAAGAAGTACAGGTGAGCTAGAAGCCTAATGACCTAATAGGCAATGGCTGGCATTTGTTTAAAAATAATAAATAATAATAAATCGTCATACTGATCGACTATCACTTTGGGATCTTGGATGATTTGAAGTGCAATCGGCGTTTTTAAAATTATTTATCTTTTTGGCTGCTGGGAATCAAGTACAAGATACCAATTAGGTATCCCACTTTACAAGACTTAAGGGTAACTTAATTACCAGGAAAGTTATGAGTTATTTCAATTAACTTGAAGATTGGAGTTTTGTAATTTAATATCGCATTGAAATACTTCGGATACACAAATGAAAGATAAAACTTTCTAAATTCGATAAGAACATAAATCTATCATAATTCATGGCGGAGGGATTACCCTGAGCCTTGTTGATTATAGTGCCGATTTCAATCCTATCGAGGTGCTCGTGTCGATTTCAATTCTATAGAGGTAGACATCCTATAGAGTTTAAGTAATTAAAGTATATCGCTTAGGAAAACTATTAGAAAAAATGTTCGACAAGAAACTAGATTATTATTTTGGAATTGATAGCGATCTAAATGCAAATATCTAAGACAATACAACACGTATGGCTAATTACTATACACTGATTTCAAAGGTGCTTTTGACGACTTAGAATAAAAATTTGTCGATCAAGCATTTAAGAAACAAAACCCTATTCCAGCTTCGTGGCATAGTTTAAAGCATTAACATGAGTGAACTTAAAATGGACGAATAATAAAAAAATATTTCAAAGAACTGTTATCAATGATCTGACATAGATTCACTACAATGGTATCTAAAACATAATGACTTGTTAGAATCACAAGACATATATTCAAGCGTTTTAAGATTAACTCAATTTTTTTGCTAACATAGTTTCTCTACGGAAGGTAGAAATGAAACTATGAATTAACTCTTAGTATTAGTGTATACGCGACTTTAAAATAACTGATCACGACTTTCTTTCGGCAAAAATATACAGTCTTCAGAAACTTGAAAAGAAACCCTACTTATTTTATTTAATAACGGTCGTTGAACAGCCGACCCAATTTTGAGTTTACAACTACTAATGCTCAATATATACTAACTACTAATGTTCAACTACTAATGCTCAATCCATAATCTTGTAAATTTGAACCCAATCTGAAAAACAATAGAACTTTTGGAGTTCCCCTGTTTTCTGGATTGGGTTCAAAATTGCAATTGTTGAATATCGGTAGTCGCACCCAGAATTAATTCGGCTGTTTAACAATGGTTGCATAGAAAAATATGTTTTTTGAGATAAAATCCGAAAGTAGTAAGTTTTCGTTACAAAATCTAAACTTCCTAACGGGTGGTTGTAAGAACTCAAATCTGCTCTTAATTGCAATCAAATCAACATCAGATATGGATTAAATTTCTAACTCTTTCTTTTTGGAATTGAAACCTGCTAGAATGTTATGCTAGTCCTACCCTCAAAACCAATTTTTTTAAGAATGATTAGAAATCTGTGCATTCTCTTGTTAATTATCGTAAAATGACTCAAGTAAGACAAAAATAATTTTTTTTTCTATTTCGGTGAAAGATTTCGGAGATTAGCAGAAAAAAAGTGTTTTCTAACGCAATATCTCTTTCACAAATTAATCTTACAGGAACCTTAGATTTAGACTGTGACTTCTTTTCTCACTTATTTGTCGTATATATATTATTTGTGTTATTTTAGATAAATATGTTCAAAAAATAAAGGCTTAAACTTTTATCTTGATTGTTCAGGGACATTCGTGTCGGACTAATAATAATTCGAAAACAGATAACAATAAAAATAGTAATCATTTAGTCGTAAACCCAGAATTGGTTAGCGAAAACAGAAAACAATAAAAATAGTCATAATTTAGTCATAAACCCAGAATTGGTTGCGCTGTTTAACGACGGTTAAATAGAAAAATATATGTTCTTAGCAATAAAATCCGAAAACTGTTAAGTTTTCGTGACAAAATCCAAACACGTGGTTGTAAAAACATTTTGGGAATTGAAACCTGCTAGAATATTATGATAATCATCCCATTAAAGCCAATTTTTTAATGAGTGTTGAGAAATCTGTGCATTCTTTTGTTAATTATTGTAAAATGACTCAAGTAAGACTGATAATAATTTTTTTTCTATACCTGTGAAAGATTTCAGATATTAGCCGAAAAGAAGTGTTTTCTAATGTAATATCTCTTTCATAAATGAATCTTTTAGGAATCTTAGATATGGACCGTAATTTCTTTTCCCACTTAATTGGCGTAAATCTTTCATATTTGTGTTATTTTAGATAATTATATCAAAGAAAATAAAATTTTAAAATTTTATCTCGGTAGTTCAGAAACATACCGGAAGGAATATTAATAATTCGAAAACTGAAACCAATAAAAATAGTCATCATTTCAGCTTACTTATGTCTATTTTCAACGAATGAAAGAAGCTAAGAGTTTAAACTTCAGTGGGAAAGTACCGTTAGTTTGTTCCAATTGGTACATTGCAATAGAATATCTAAATTCAGTTACTTTCAATTTCATTTTTCTACATTCAACATAATTACCAAAATACTTTTACAATGTAGTTATACTTGTAAAAAAATAAATAAAAGCTATATTTTTCAAGATTGATACATTTTTTCTTTTATACAAAATAGCGTGTCATTTTAAACCAAGCATACTTATTAAAAATTACAAAAATACGATTCAGAATACAAAAAAGAAGAAAATTAACTATTTTTTAATGGTATGGATTTCCTCTGCTTCAAGAGTAACTTAAATCCACAAATTTAACATTTATCTGAATGTGCATGCGTTTCGTCCAACAACTCTGAGGAGTTAGATAGATTAGGAACATAGATTGTTTTACAACAACTGCCGAATAAAATTGGGAAAAAGGAGGATGCAGAAATTTTGATATGTTTTGGGTGGTGGTGGAACATAAATGCAAAGTAAATGAAAAAATGCATCGCCCAATTTAATAAATTTTACTAGGATTGGTGGAATGTTCAAAGAATTAGTCCAAACATAACAAAGATTTATTCATGAAAGGAATTCAGATGATTGAGGTTGTACAAACGAATGTCCAAGAAGTACAAAAAGGGAAGCAGGGAAGGAAATAGAAGCAATGCAAACACTATTTATTCAGTACTGAAAGTTGGCAGAGAACTTAAGTTTTATTTGAGCAATTGTTTGAAGAAAAATTCTTAACCCTTGCATGCCTTCAACACATTCTAGTTTTGATATAATTATTTGATTGAAAAATGAAGATATGATGGAATAATATAAAGATATTATATAATGAAATAAAGAAGTAATAGATATGATAGAACTATAAGGCTCCAGCTATAAATTTTCTAAGACTTAAGGAGCCGTCCCCTGAAATCAATATAATCAGTGAAACAGCTGAGATCTGTGATGCGCAGGTAAAAAGAAAAAAAAACTGACTATATTGATGTTGCTATGCAATTTGGTACCAAACCTAAAATATAACTGTCTGGAGACGATTAGAAAGAATTCCTGCGATTCTGCTTGAGATTTAAAAAATTTTGTCACACTAAACCAAAATATCCATCAGGCGTCAAAACAAATATATTTCGGGTGCCACATACATTATGTTAAGTAGATGGCAAAACTCCTCTACGCACTAAAAAGTTTTTATTTTCAGAGATGAGTTTCCGAATATTGATGTATTTAGAAGAATCTCTTTTTTCATTATAATCACTTAAATAAACGTTTAGTTTAATACAGAAAATTCTAGTTCCATGTCAACACCAAAATTAGTTAGAGTTTTAATTAATTAGTAAAATCTAGATGTGGAAATATGCAATATCAAAATTTTTACCTACTTGCTTCAAAACTATTGTCAGATGATGTAGGTAAAAGATATAATTAAAAATCTAGAATATACATGGCAGAAATACATTTAAAACCACATGATTCTTTTTAAGGAATAATTTGATGCAATCCTCACCTCGTTTGCGATGAACTTTCTAAATATATTTAATATTTTTGCAATTATTTTTCTTAAGTCTGATGCAGTTGTTTGAAAAACAGTATTGTGATTTTAGAAAGAACTAAACACATTTAAAAAAGTTTTAAGTGACATAGCAGTAAAAGGTAGCAAGCCTATTAAAAAATTTCCATCCTAACTCTTCAAAGACGAAGTACAATATAAATATTGTACGTAGTCACCGAGAGTACAAAACTTTAGCTCGATGCTAAAGAGTGCTACGTAGCTTGAGCTGACAATTTAAGTCATGCATGGCTGTCAGGGTTGTTCATATGCTCCCTAGCAATTTCCAAGACACATGGGAGTTATTCTTCTATACAACTGAGCTTGAAATTAAATTTTGAATGAAGTTCCTTTTTATCCATCAAATTTTTCATTTTGTTTCTTTGATAAACTTCACAATGTTATTATTTATTGTAATGCTGATTTGGAATACGTTTTCACGACGTTACAAAAGAAAAATAACCTCGTTTTCAGTTTTGAACAGTAGTGTATGAACAAATACATCAAATTCTGAAAATGTTGAGAGAAAATTGAAGGGGATGCTGAGAATACGATTGCAAAGGTGCAAAAAGAAGATCTTTGCAAATAAGGGACTTTGCCATACACAGGAGTGTGTGGATAAAAGGTTAGAAGCATTATGTACCAGAGTTGCGCACGGCGAGGTAAAGTTAAAAATTATATTAAACATCATTCCTCTAACAGAGACCAAGTTTTTTGAAGGAAATATTTCCTTATTTATAATAAAATATTGCGGAATAGATTACTGTTAATAAATCTTTAACTTCCGAAACTACAGTGAGAGCTCTTTTAGTCGGATTAATTTCTTTTTCTCTAAGTTAAATGTTTTCTTAGTGCCGTTAAAATACATATTAAGCTAAAAGGTCGATATGGCATGGTAAATAAAAATAATGAGAGATTCGTTGTTTTCAGCCACAAATATACAAGAAACTGATATTTTCCTCTAAATTCAAATGTCTTATTTGTCATGATGCACATTGCTACTGTAAATGTAATGAATCTTTACCTTCTTAAGGGCTGCATAAGCTACAGTGGAGGCACCCATACTGTGTCCAAATAATACAGCTTTCGGCAAATTTACTACATTCATAAAATGAAAAAGATCATCCACATTTAAGGAGAAACTAAATTCATCAGTATATTCACTGTCACCGTAGTTTCTGGCATCATATGCATAGACCTAAAATAAAATGTGCAGTAATATAAACAAAGATAATATAGATTTTAGGCAATATCGGTACTCGGGGCATACGGGAAAGATTGTGATATGAAATAAATGGAATGCCATAAAAATATATTCTTTAAAATTGATTGGCATTTGAAGGAGCTTTCGACATTCCATAGTTGCGGCAAATATCGGAAGTATAATGAACCCTATAGAATTTTATGTTTAAACATCTATTTTGCTGCTGAGCAAGCTATCAAGCTTTAGAATTACACGTTTCTGTTTATCAGAAAATTCTCGAAGAAATCACTTTACCTTCAGACATTTTTTGGCGAGTTCTTCTCCTAAGTGCTCACCGTCAATATCGCATAAAAACAAAATTGGAATTCATTATGCATTCAGTTTTCTTTGTTAGCAGGGGTGTTTGTCGAAACACTAGAAAGACTGAACATTGCCGCATACCGACTGCTGCTCGCAAAAGCTCTTGAAAAGGCCATATTGGTCTTTTCCATGTAGGCCCTTTCCAGATATTTTAAGTGCAGCAATTTTCAGTCTTTCTAGTTTTTTAACAGATATCCCTGTTGAAAAAGAAAGCTAAGAAATGGCATAATATGAGAAAAATGGAGAAAAAAAACTTTATGAAACTTTTCAAAAAATTTCGATTTATTAAGAAGAAAAGCTATTAATAGAATTTCTTTCAGATAGTTCAGTGTATTGATAGAAACTAAATTCATGCAAAAAGTTTGATCTAGAATTCTAACTTATCACTGATAAATAAGAATTTTTGATATAATGAAATTGATATATTATATTTTCAGACACAATTATTGCATGTAACATTTCTACCAATATTTAGAAAAGTTTGTACACACTTGAAAAATAATTTATTGATAAGAAGTGGAAAATAATAATGTAAACAGGCAAAAATTATCAGCTATCAAATAATGTAAACTTAGAAAATTTATTAAGCTAAAAAAAAAGAAATATTTTTCACAAAAAGCAGGTTTATTTTTTCTTATTTCCCTTTAAATTCGCGTAACATTCCGTATAAAGTGTTCATTTTATTGTTGCAATGGTACAGTCTGCATGACTCCCAATTAAGTAAAATAAATTTTTTCGCAGATGCATATATACTTACTGTCTGACCTCGATAACAGAAATTATTCTCCAGTTGTTGTATTAATACTTATGGTATAAGCCCTATAATGGAAATTATTTCTTGATAGGTGATTTACAATGATCGTGGTACTTCCAGAAACTTTTAATTGAATTTAAAATTCTAATGCATCAGTTGTGGTTCTTGATAGCTTTGTTTGAAATAATTTAAGTCCGCAAAAGTTGGTGGCCAGTGAAGAAGAATGAAAAATATTGTTCTTTTATCTTAGACTGAAGTTTCCATGAATATTTTTACAAGATATAAAATAGTAATACATAGAAGTAATTGCATCAAGGAACATTGCATCAAGAGCTTATTGAAAAAATAAAGCAAAGTAAGATTTTAGTGAATTTCAGGAAATCAATTTCAGAGTGTATAAAAGCATTAGGATTCTCACATTATTTTTTTACAAATGAGAATCGCCTTATCAGAGAGCTTCCTCTATAATTTATCTTACTTATAATCGATTATGTCATATTTTTAATCCCCAACATTTCGGAATTTTAAAAATATAGCCAAATTTCTTCTTTATGCGTTTATGCGTAATGGTATATATATATATATATATATAAGTACNATAATTTCATTTTTAAATTTTTTTAGTCTAAATACAATGAAATCTACTAACGGAGCCTAAAAAGCTAAAAGAGTTTGGAGAAAAGTAATTATTCATATTCAAAAAAATAATTTTCAATCATTATTAATCAACTAAAAAATGACTTTATATATATATATATATATGTGTGTGTGTATACATATATATAACGGTAATAAATATATGCATAATGGTAATAAATACAGCACACCTAACGGTATGCTATATTTATTATCAATTATATTTAGATTAGAAAATTTCATTTTAAGGATATTTTTTTTTCTTAGAAAACCTGAAAAACTACACCATGTCCATAATTAAAGCTAACATAAGTGACCAGTCAGAATCAAAAACAGCAGTAAATTTCATGTAAATCGTGTGATGGCACTGTGAATTGATGGGAATTTTACTAGCGAAGCAATTTAGTTTCATAAACCCTTACCAGATAACATTTCATAATTTTATAGAGTGCTTATAAAAATTCTTCCTTTTTAAACCAAGTTTTTTTAAGAGATTACTGGTTGTTGTTGTTGTCGTAGAGCATTAAGGCAAGGGGTGTGATTGCTCCTGCTTTCCAGTGGCGCTACCTATGGCCAAGAATTCGATTTTAGCCACACCACTCTATAAATACACACACGCTTACAGGGTGGATCCATTCATTCATCCACAGATTGTAATTTTGTCCTGAGCCAGAGAATGATCAATCGCCAATTCCCTTAAAAGTTATTATTGGCCCCTTGAAGTATAATTTCTTATGGGAACATGGAGAACTTTGTGACCCGACAGATTTAACTACCCATTTACAACACGGGGAGTCTTCGCCCGGCAGGATTCAAACTCCCATTCTCAAGAATGAGAGAGCAAGGCTTTGCTAACCACGCTACCCCGGTCAAAAGATTACTGGGGTCAGACGCGTATTACTTTTAAAATCAACAAGTTCACACGATACAAAAAAATATTTAAATTGATATAACAGAATAAATAATATGCTCACATATTCTTACCTTTCTCCTCGATTTTTCGGCAATAATTGGAGCAGTGAGTTTCCACGTCTTTCTCTCCGATGCAAGCCCATGAACAAGAACTACAGGTGTTAAGTTGGGGTCACTGCCTTCAGTAGATTCATACAAATCATAAGATAAGTTAATAGGAACATAGCTGCAAAAAATTATTTTGCGAAATGAGAATCTCTAAGTATTAGAAAATAAAAGTCAAAGATGCTTAGTTTTTTCCTTCTAATATTGCTTAACGCCAGAGCGTTGCCCCTAATGTCAATCCAATGTCACTGGACACAAGTGTCAAGTTACAGTGATTTCCTAAGAAATGTGAATAAAATTTATCGCTCTTTTATCGCCAAATATAATCTCGACCACTTTTCAATTGAAACAAACTCTAACAGTCACAAGAACAAAAATAAGAAATGAAAAAATAAAATGATCCTGTAATCTACGTTTCTCAATTTAATTAAAATGAGAAAACAAATATAATTTTCTCAGACCTAAAACACAGAACGTACTATTATTTTGTTCTAAACGTCTTTCTCTCGCCACTCCATGGTTTTTGAAAGTGATGCTCTCTACGTGTTTGGTGAATAAAAAGTTAAATGGCATTTTCTTATTTAGTCCAATTGAAATACTGGTATAGTGCATAATATGAAAGTATAGTTCGTTCACCAGGAGTTGAGACTTGGCTCCACCTCCTCGGACGCAGAGTTCATTTCAGCGCGGGGGAGTAAGAGGAAAAACATCTCCGTTGTTGAAATTGAGACAACCCTTAATTTGCGCCAAACACAGAAAGTGAATTATTTTTCACTTACTTTGCTTTATCATCTGCTAATATACCTTTTGTTACACTAGCTAATTAAATATAGTTTAAATTTAAAAACTGTTGTTCTCCCAGCGAAATGTCTCATAAAGGACAAACTATTCACTCAAAAGAAAGAAATATCATAAGAAATAGTGTAAAATATCATCAAATTTATGAAATATTCATTGTTAAAAAAATGCACATAAAGTTTGCGAAATAAATATTTTTGCCAAACGATCGCCAAATAGCAACATTGTTCAGGGTTGCTCACAACCTTCTCCCAAAAATAGCGAAATAGTATCGTCGCATACCACGTGATGAAGGCGGAGCCAAGTGCCAACTGCTGGTGAACGAGCTATACCAAAAATTGAATACATAGTATTTTATCTTTGGATATGTTATCTTATTGTTTCTCATTATTTATTTTTTATTAGTTCAATGATTCATTTATTTATTTTATGTAATTCATTATTATTTTTTTTTAAAATTTGGATCTATATTAAAAGACAGCAAACTCTTTATACAAAGAAACAAACTTATTTTCGAGAAGTGCTCCTTGAATAACAACAACAAGCTGTCGGGCTAATTTATTTGATGAAATAAAATTCCCCTTGACTTTAATTGTTCAATCACCGAAAAAAAAGAAAGGAAAAAAAGATAATAACCTGAATAATTTCTGATCTAATGATTGGATCTTCACCTTCTAAGGCTCAATCTTAATGGTTCGAAGGAGTGACCACAAATATATTAATTAATTAGTGAAGACGATATGTTAAATTACGAAATAAGACTCAAAAACAGATTTTTTTCAAAATAAACACCTTTTTTACCAACGGATTTGAATTTCTGACTCCTAAAATATAGGGTGTAGCCACAATCTGGAAGATATGGGCCCCATAATTTGGTGAGTAGAGCAATCCAAATTTGGACCTCTTAATGTTAATGTAATCTTTGCGCAATTCCTCATATCTTGAGAACTTTTAAAGTCGATTGAAAACATTTTACACACTATTAGAAAATTCGTTTACCAAAGATTCGCTTACCCGCAAAAACTAATTTTTGTAAATGATTATTTTTTACTATTTTATTTAACAATAGTCGAAAAATTTTAATTGATAAGTATATATTTTTTGCATACAATTTTTAAAGTATGCAATCGTGCATATCTAAATACAAAATGTGAGCGAAATCGCGGGTTAAATAGTTACTGAGAAATTAAAATTTTGAAGTTGATAATAACTTAAAATTCAATTTTTTAGAAACTATTCGTCCGATTCTGCTGCAATTTTTTATATTGTCAATTAAAATTGCATTTTTTAAAATAATGTAAAAATGGTGTACCTCACAATTCAAAATTATGACAACTACTTTATGACTATTATTAAAAAAATAACATAAATTTACTAAAATTACTTTTTGCAAGGAAATATAATAGCTTTTATAAAAGCGCGCAAAAGTTTTTCTATGCGCTTAGAAAGTTCTCGAGATAATATAACGAAATACGCAAAAAGTAAAACAGACGTTAAGGAATCCGAACTTTGGATCGTTCTCCTGACCAAACTATTGAGACCATATTACCTAGATTGTGACTACGCGCGATATTTTTTTTTTTTTTTTGGNTATTGGGGGGGTTAGTAATCTATTTCCGTCGAGAAAAAGGTATGTTTATTCAGAGGAAGTAGGTTTTAGTGTCTGATTTCGTAATTTAAAATATCGCATTTATTAATTATCATATTTACGGTCACCACCTCGAGCGAGAAGATCATTAGAGTGAAAGTTATTCTGGGTGTCCTTTTTGTTTTTAGCACACTGTACATATGTTATCGCTAAAGTTTGAGAGCCGTTAATATGCACATAACCTAGCTAATCTGCAAATTAATCAGGGTGACCCAAGAATGCCCCCTCTACAGGAAAATAACAAATGAAACATTGTAGTGCAAAAGAAAAATCAGCGTAAACGACAAATTAATCAAAATTGAGATATTTACATATTTTTCATCTTCGTAAGCTAAACTACATATCTGAAAGAATTTTTTTTTAAGAAGTTGTTTCATCAGTTTTCTGAAATTTCAGCGTTTATAATATTAGCAACGGAAAGAAAATAGTTGACAAGTCACTTTTCTCGAAATCAATCGCTAAGCACTTGCATAGTCTTTCGTAGCAGTTGCATAAGCTGTATAGCCTTGTTGCTTGGAGTTAATAAAAAAATAAGCTTGATTCTGAACAGCTTTTGTCATAAAAATAAATGAAACAGTTGTGGCGAAATCATCGTACTTGATTCTAAAAGTTCATGCTCTGGCGAACCTAAAATATACAATCTACGCTCAAAGTAATTTTTGTTATCTATTTGAACTGAACTGAAGTTCAAGAAATAAATCGTGGTCATCTCAAACTTCGTTACCATCGAAACCATTGCGATACTTTGTTCTTTTTCTCTACTTTTCTTTACTTTACTTATCTCTTTTTTCGGTAACCTGCCTTACGTTTTTCTTCAGCTTTTACTTGTTCAATTATTCTTCTATGGTTTTAATTTTGTTAAGTTTTCATTAAAATTATGTTTAAATTTAGCATTTCTCCAAATTATTTATCTTTGGTGACAGACTCAACTGAACACGCAGACTCATAAATAACGCAGCCGTTTTCTCGCCAAAGATAAGTGGTGACCCGGACGTGATTTGCTCACGCAAGTAACGCCCACTTCGCAATCTCTTAACGGTAACGCCTACTTCGATGGATAGTCCACATTGAACAGTTGACTTGCTATTTGTGAATGCATTATTCACCTCCTGCGCTGTTGCTTCTCAGTCTCGTCTCGAACATTCACACATCGCCTACACTCTCAACGCCTGCATACTCTCGACTGCTAATGGCAACACAGGAACGACTTCGACTGTGATGTTAATACACCTCTCACATTCAGCACTCAAAAAATCCGGTGACTCTCTCCCGGTCTTTCACAAGT